TATTATTATTATTATTATTATTATTATTATTATTATTATTATTATTATTATTATTATTATTATTATTATTATTATTCCCCAAGACAAAAAAGTATCATATGTCATCGGCATGTCTTAATAGTATAATATATTTGTCCGATGAAGAGATACGTAGAACAATTGAAAGTCATTTACGCGAATATCAGCTTGCATGTCTTAGCAAGCTTCATACCAAACTGACGGATTTAAGCAGTGTGTTAGTCAGTTTACCTAGCATGTATATAACAGAGCCAAATTCCGACTCTTGTTTGTAAGTCTTTTGTTTCTGGAAGATTCGATCCCTATTATCACGAAGATTATGACATCTCTCAGCAAGTACTTACGCATTGGTAAGTGTTCATATACACATCCATATTTACTTTAGCCAATTTTTTCACTGTTATTGACTCTTCTATAAATAGTTCAGTCCCAATTAGAGGCCCTAATAAGTTATAAATCCAAGGTTTTAACCTTTGTACGAACATTCGCAATAGACACTGTAATCTATATTTTAAATCGGTTATTCAGGACGTAATAGACGGTGGATGGTAAGTGTTAATTGTAAAATTTAAAGCATCAGGCTAACTTATTTGGATAATTACTCTTATTCGAATTAACTGCTCCTCACACGAAAAAAAATAAATTTGATGATTATTTAAAGCGATGAGAACAAACAAACCAAATAATCAAGTTATAATTGTTGTTGAATTTTCAAGTGGCAGGAAAGCGTCCTCGACCAAAAACATATTAAATTACAGTATGTTAAAGAAAAAACGGCGGTTTACAAAAATATTGCTTTAATGAAAAATAGCCAAAATTATGTAGAAAAGTTTGGAGCATATTGCCATGTAGGCTTTAGAGCAATTATTAAGGAAATTTACACATTAAATTGTTTTTTTATTTTCAATCGACAAAATTCTAGAAAATCTGAAAGTATGAAAATTTTATATACATACTCTCCAGAACTTTCGCTACAGACGGTATAATTTTTTATACGATCATTATTGTTATGTATATGTTTGTGTCAGAGCTATTTTTAAAAAATTCCATGTTAAAATTTCAAATACAAAAATTTAGCAAGGTTTTAAAAAGAAGATATGAATAAGCTCTATAGAAAATTGGCAATGGCATTTCGTGTCTATTTTTTATTATTTAACAAGGCAATTTAATAAACTTTCAAACGAATCTAAATTTATTAATTATTGAGATATGCAATTTTTTGTCACCGCCATTTTTTCTTAACGCACTGTATGACAAATGCGATGCGAATTTTAAATGCCAGATTACAAACTATACTCAGAGAAAAAGCACGCATTTATTTGATACAATTTGTTAAGGAAACCCTGCATAAACTTTTGACATAATGAACATAATTACAGTTTTATCAAGTGAAAAATTATTATTAGATTTAGTCACACAAAAAAATTGCGAAACTTTATAGTCAAATATATTAATAGCAACTACAGGTCACCTCACGTTATAAAGACACACCGTATAACGAGATGTCCTTGTAACGGAAGTTCATGAAAATCACGTGATTCATAAAAAATGCTATATGAAAAACAAACCATTTTACATTAATTAAATAGTCTTGTTTGAAAACGTCACCCTCAAAAAAAAAAAAAAACAATTATGAAAAAATTTTCTTTATTGTTAATAATGTAAAGATACTTCATCACAAATCAATTTCTTTGACTTTTTTGAAAATGTAATCATCAAAACAATTTATAAAATTTCTTTATTGTTGATAAGAGATCAATCAAAAACGTAAAGATACTTTGTTACCACCAAAACAATTTGTAATTATTGTGTTAATAAAAATAAACTTGATTTAATATTAGTAATTTGAACATTTTAAATAACATAATGTTATCTATTATTATTTGTCATAGTGATCGTGGGTTATCTCGTTATACTGATATGTCCTTATAACGGATGTCACTATAACGGGATAGATTTTATAATTATAAAAATTTTTTTTTGTCAAACTATGTCCTTATACTCGTATAACGGGAGTAAATTTATATTTATAAAATGAAAAAATATCACTATAATGGATTCTCACTATAACGAGTTGTCCTTATAACGGGAGTGACCTGTAAACGCAAATACAAAACTACGCAAAACAATAGAATTAAATCAATGGTTCGCGGTGGTCCAGGATATGAAGGTGGGGTATCATTGGCATTCTTTTTTTGTGGGCGTGACTTTTTTTTTGGAGTGCCTTGCAATGAACAATTTTATTGATTTCCTTGGCTGTAAATAAGACGTTCGCTTAGTGAAAAGAAAGTCGGGATAATTTATTAGTGACCCATACCTGAATTCCACCATATCCTTTACAAAATTTTTCGAAATCATAAAGGTTTCGGATGTTTTGGTGCATATGAAACGGTCAATAAGATACGCTAATGGATCAAACATTCGATCTTAAGATAGCTGTCTATAAAATAATATTTTTAGAAACATGTAAATAATTCGCGCTTTTTTTATTATTAAGCCTTTAATCAAAATGCTCTTTTGAAGAAAATCTCCTGGAGAAATTTCATCATATGTGCCGAAATCGCTAGAATTACTTTCACTTGGATGCTCGAGTAGCATATCCCTCAACACCAAGTTTTTTTTGAACTGTTATTACATCTTTCTCCAAGCATAAAAACAATTCATAAAGATTAGCGAGGTCTTCTTACTTTGGCCTGATTTATCATTTTGCCGTTTTCCATGATGGTTATACTAAGGTGTTATGAAAAAAATGTCAAACCTCATAATATGAGTATGTTTTGTGTTTGTGGTTATAAGATGTGTGCTTCCTGTATTTTGTCGATTTTGATGGAAGTGGCAGAAGATTATATTATGTATAATATTTCATAATTATCCGTTATCGTAATGATAAATTATTATCAAATTTAAAACAAATGGATTTATATGTTTGGATAAATGAATATTTTGGTTTCTTTTATCCAAAAAATCAGATTTAGTTTTTGGTCCATATTGATGTCATGTGTATCTATCTATCTGCAAAAGTTATTTTTTTAAATATTCCACATTTTGGATTTTCTGGCAGAATCTTAAATCGATTTTTTGCTTTTCAATCGGCCTTCCCTTTTTTTTATTTATCATAAAAATCATAAATATATAATAATTGTTTTAATTATTAAATAAAAGATCAACCACTTGTTTATTTTTTAATCTCTTCAATCCTATCTATTAATATATTTTAAAGCTTCATCGCAAGCAGAATTGACACCCAATGCCGATGGTTTATAAACTTTAAGCGGTGTTAGAGTTTTTGGTAATGGCCAGTTTATTGTTTTTCAGGAAGTTGACTTTTTCATAAACTAGAGAATGGGGCTTTTTTAAAAGACATCTTGAGGTGTATTTTTAATTTGTGTGTGCCAATTTTTAAAAGCTCACATTTGTTTTGATTTAATAAAATAAATTTGTACTACGACAAAATTGATTTTTGATTCGCTTGGGAGATCCTGATCATATTTTCTCAAGGAAAATGAGAAGAAAAAATACTTGGTCAGCAGAATGTCTTTTAGATGAAAAGATAGAAAACGAAAAAAAATATTATTTAGTGAAATGGAAAGGTACTGATAGAACAACTGGACAACAGTGGGAACCTACATGGGTATCTATTTATTTTATTTCTTCTTTGCTCTATAAAACAATAACAATATTTACATTTTTTTATTTAACTAGGAACCGGATAGAAATTGTTCTGCTGCTTTAAAAAAAGATTGGATGCTAAAACAACAAAGTGATAATACTCATTCCAACATGACATCAACAATAGAAACCGCACAAGAACCCAGCCAAGAGGCCCATTCGCTAGTAATATTTATTATTGTCATTGCTTTGGACTATAATTAAATATATTTAATTAAATAAATTATTTATAGGGAAATGATGATTTGATGGAAAAATCTCTCGATGTTGATAATATTCATTACAACATAGCATTAAAAATGCTTGAGAAAGAGCCCGACCAAGAAATCCAGCCACTAGTAATATATTTGTATTTATACTATATTATTTTAGTTAAATATATTTAATAAACAAAAATTTATTTATAGGGAAATGATGATTGGATGGAAAATTTTCCCAACATTGATAATATTCATTACAACATAGCATTAAAAATACTCGAGGAAGAAATGACACAAGTACCCGACCAAGAAACCCAGCCACTAGTAATATATTTATATTTATACTTGTATTGTATTGTATTGTAGTTGTTTTTGGGCTATAATTAAAATATTTAATTATACAAATTATATATAGGAAAATGATAATTTGATGGAAAAATCTCCCAATGTTAATCAAAATGATGAAGTGAGACAATCAATGAATAAGAGAAAAGCAACTGATATATCAAATAATCTCATAAAGCAACATAAGGGATATTATGAAAAAACAAATACTAGGTATGAAAACCTTATAAAATATTTATATTCATCAAATGAAACTGTAAAAATGGAAATGAAGACAATTCAAAAAAACCAAATACTATTGAAAAGAGAATTGGAAATAAGTCAGTCAGAATTAGAAAATAAAAAAACCCATTTGAAAAGTTTACAAGAAGGATACATTACACAAAAGAGTCTTCTATCAATTCAGAAAAACCAATATGAATTATTGGATGAGAGGTTTAAAAGGCAGAATAAAAAAGAATGCGAAAAAATAAATGAACTACAAAAAGATAATATAAAGATATTAGAGGAGATTGAGAGATTGAAAACTTATAGAGAAAGTGAAGGCCAATCATCATCATCAGACTTTTTAGAAAATGAGAATAAAAATTTGCAATCACAAGTGTATCTTTTAAAAGCCCAATGTAAATTGAATGAGCAAAGATTGAAAATGCCAAAAGAATTGATTAAAAGGCATGAATCTACTCTTAGGTTATTGATTGATCATAAAAAAATAGTGTCAGAGAACAATGTTCAAGACAAAAATCTACCAAAAATTCATTGATTTTATTTTAATGAACAAACAATTAAATGTAAATAAATTTTTATGTTATGATTATGTTGTTAATAAAGACAGGAATTTAAAATGTGATTAGTAATAACAATAGAGTGAATATTTATTTTCATCAATATAAAGAAAGTTCATTGTCAGCTAGCTTGCACTTTAAAATCATTATTAAACTTGTTATAATTTATAATTTTATTGTATTTTTGATATTTCATCAATAAATCAAAATCCAATTCCAAAGTCAATATTTTCTTCTAATACTGGAAATACAAAGCTGGGTTTTTCAAAAGCAAGTGCTGGAATTTTCTTGGATTTCTTATTGATTTCTGAATTAAATAACTTTATTTTTTACAAGAATTATCAGCAAAAGAAAAATGCCATGTCATATATCAATGAAAATAAAAATTAAATTAATAATTACAGTAGAATATGTATGATCCAGAAAATCTTCTAGATTATATTGAGTCCTTGTAAATTTATCTTGAAAGATTTTGGCTAATGCTGCAACATTTGGTAAATAATGATCTTGTAATGTCTTTTATTAATTAGTAATAATAATATTATTATTAACACAATTACTCTTTTGCATAAAATTTCCTCTATAAATAAATAATATGCTAATCATACCTTTAATTCCCATAAAGAACTGTCAATTGCATTACTTTTCAATGGATCTTGTTCATAAAAATCATATGGGTCTTTAAAGATAATTTCTTCCTTTGAATCTAAAAAATATTTTTTAATATTGTTTCAATAATTGCCATTTATTAATTTATAAATAATTTACCAGTCTCAGGATTTATTGAATTAGGCCTATGAATTAATGCCATACAAGGTGGGTGTCGTCTTATTAAATTATATATCATTGGTATAATTATTACAATTCCATTTGGTGGGCTTGTGAGTGAAAGATGTGACATTCTTTTAATAAATGCTGCAACAAGTTGAACAGGAAGATGTCTACACATATATATGAAAGATATATATATTAGATGAATATTAGATATATATGTATGTTTGACTGTATATTTGGTGATACATACGTAGATGAAAGAAATAAATCAGCTAATCGAAAGAATCGTGATCGATATTTCACATGCATCAAATTACGATCAAATAAATTATATAATTTCTTGTAAAAATCTGGGTAATCTCTGAATATTGATTTAAAAAAATTAAAAAAATTATATAAAAGGCTTTAGTAATTTTCCTTTGCTAAATTGATATTTTGAATAATGACAGATAACTAACAAGTTGTGTTCATTAATAAGAGTAAAAAGCCCATTAAGTGCCAATAAACTAATTGCTCCACCTAAATATAACAACATCAGTAATCATAATTAATAATAATAAACATCAGTAATCATAATTAATAATAATAAACATCAGTAATCATAATTAATAATAATAAAAATAATTATATAGCAATCAATGATTGTTATTTTTTTACCTGCATTATAAGAATCTGTTAGAAAATCCATTAATAAAGTAGGCTGTTTCATATGAGGAATTATTTTTTTATGCATAATTGAAAGGATTTTCTTGTATGATTCTTCAGTCATTGGAAGTTTAAAAAAACTTAGCCAACAATCAGAGAATACTTTTCGATGAGCACCCAATTGTAATAAAACTGATTTTTTGTTTGAATTCTCTTCTCCATTATCTCCATCTCCATCATCATTTTCCTCATCCTCATCATCCTCATCCTCATCATTTCTCTTATCATTACCAAAAAGATAATCATAATCATAATCATCAACATTTTTCTTGTTCTTTTTTTCATCTAATTCCTTGGAATTGTTACTGCTACTAGGTGCTGGGTGACTTGTCCAAAATTCATCAATCTCTGATGAATCTGTTGGCATTGTTCTAAGGTTTTCAAGTATTTGTAATGTATTCTCCATCAAATTATATAATCTTTCTTCTTGTGACTTTTCATTCTTTATTTTCTAATTGAAAATTAAAGTTTTTGTTTTAACTGGCTGAAATCAATTGTCATCATAATAATTATTATTATAGTAAAAAATAAATTCAAACTTTAGATAAAGGTCCATATTTTTCTTTGGATTTTCCATTATCAACTGCAAAATTAATTATCTTGCTAAAAATTTTTTAAAAAAATAAATCACTACAATTAAATAATTTAAACACATATTTAATAATTATAATTATAATTATTACTACTAACATCACATCTTTAAAAAAATAAAATCTTAAATCATCATAAATATTCCAATATTTTTCTACAAATTCATTTAATAAATGTTCATTGAAATTTTCATTGTCAATAAGTGCTTCAACAATTCGATAATATTGATTGTTTGGAAAATAAAAATCTCCTGAAGCTTTGGTGTAATATCTTGATTCTATTCTAAGTAAATCCAATAGAATGTTTAAAGATGGAATCTAAATAAAATTATATTTCCCCCATTTACCATTAAACCAATATTATCATGAAAATAAAATGCATATGAAATATAAACATAATATATTGATTGATTGATTGATTGATTGATTGATACCTGCAAACCAGGCTCTTCTTGTCCAATTAAACCATACAAATTGTTGATATATCTTATATAATTGTCTCTTAACTCTGATTTAATTATCATTTGTTGATCTTTCTCTGCTGTTTCCTTGGGCCTTTGCAAACCACCTTTGGAAAGTAATTGTGAGAAAATACGATATAGTGCATGAATGGCAGAGTAAACAATCTTTGGCATTTCATAATTCTTTTCAAATACATAACATAAACCATATAATACAATTTAAATTAATTTAGAAATTTCTAAGGTAAATCCATATCATTTGTCTTCGTAATTCATAATAATTCCATAACTAATAAATACCTCGGTGAAATCTATTAGTTTGTTAAAATTAACATTGTTGGTTTTATTTTCTATAAAATCTTGTTCAAGCTCTTTGATCTTTTTTATTATTTCATTTTCTTTTTCCTGGGTGCAGTTATCATCATCATTATTGTTCTTTTCTAAAACCTTTCGTTTTTTATTATTTAATGACATTTTGCCGTTAGCATTAGATCAAAAAAAAATTTTTTTTTTAATATGGCAATGATTTTCTTTGATCAAATGCTGTGCCATCCAAAATTTAAATTTTTGGATAATCTTTCTAATTTAAGTAATCAGATTTCTTTTATTGGAGAGATTTTCTGTATCCAGAAAAAAATTTTTAAGCGATCACCAGCATTTTAAGAGATCACAAGGGAAGATCATTCTGAAATTTTACAATTTACATATAGACATATATAAAATGGTCCAACTTTGAAGCCTTATAACTCAAAACTTTCCTAATAAAAAGAAAAAAGTAAACTGATGGAGATGAAGCTTAGGTCTTTAGCTATAATTTTATCAGTTTACTTTTTTTCTTTTTCTTTTTCTTTTTTAATAAGGAGTTATAAGCTTTTAAAATTGTGTGATAATTATTACTGCTATAGATGTCCTGCACTATATGTGTTTAGAAATAGGTCGGAGGTTCTCAACATTTGCATGACCTTCAAAATTGAATATCATTTTTAATTAGGATAAACTTTGTGAATATCTCAAAATGGGTAAATAGAAATGATCCACAAACTCTAACAAATATAACTTTGGTAAAAAGCAGTAAGTGTAGTTGGTGCCTTGGCAAAAGGCAACAATCATGAATTCTGGTAAAAAGCCAGATTTATATGCTTTAGTGAGATTAGCACTAACATTGATTGACTAGAAAGCATTAATGATGGTTGGTGAAATATTGTCCAAAGATTAAGACATTGTAATAAAGCCATATTATAAAAGTAAGGCTGTTAAATAAGTTGCTTAAAGTGAGTTTACAATTGGCCAATAAATATAAATAAGAGTAAAATACTAAAATAATTTGGTCATAAGTAAATAAAAAGGAAGCCTTTGAGCTTTGTAAAGAACAATGTCCAGTGCCATTAAGTATTGCTTATAATTTGTCAAACTTCTTGTTAGTGATGGGCGGGTTTATAACAACCTAGTTTATACCCTGTTATATACCAGTTATATACCATGTTATATACCATTACTGCTTTTATACCACATTTATACCATGGTTATACAAAATAATAAATTTTTTTAAATGACCACAGCATTTTATTGTTAAAAAGTCACAAGAAAGAAAAAATAACAATAA